ACATTTGAAATATGGAATAAAATATGCAATAGAGGCTAGGGCTCTGCATCCAAATGTAGGTAATCAATAAGTTTATCCAGTGTTGACAAAGGAACACAAGGGGTTTGAAATCAGCTGCAGTGCAGCAGTTAAACCAGTTAAACTTTTCCAGTCTGTGTTCCAGAGACCCTCTGATGTCCATGGATTGCCTCTGGAGTCCCAGGAAAGGCTTTGCTCATAAACACAAACATTATTTGTCAAGAGCCTAAAACTGAACCACACAACTCCTCAAGCAAACTGGTAGGAGATGGTTGGAATTTCCCAATGTCTGCTGTGCAGCACTGAACACTGAACAGCAAATTGCATGAAAAGAACCATTACCAGCAAATACTTTAACAAAGAAGGATGCAGTTGGTATTTTTCACATGAGTAATTTTTATATTTGTCTCAATGTCATCTGATTATGCTTGAAAAATGTCATTAATCAATGGGACTTCTTGTGTGAATAAGGATAACTCTCCCGAGAAGCTGAAAAATTAATTCCCTGATAGTTAATTCTCATATACAATGGGAGCATTTCAAATGGCCTATTTACACAATTTTAATCTGAATAAAATAGGAAATGTCACCTCAACGCTAATACAACATTCCTGTAAATTATGCACATTTTTAAAGCTAATGAAGCTGTCATTATCTTATTAAAATTTGGCACAGCAGTTATTTTTTAGTTATCATTGTGACTCTCAGAATATTTTGCAGTTAAATTACTTTAATTCATTTGTATTACTTGTAGGCTTGCATGAAAACCATTGTTTTTTAATCATGCCTATTAGAATGAATGAGAGCACTATGCTTTATTACACATGTTCAATCCCATTCAAAAACGTGGCTCCTTCACTTCCCACACCAAAATGGGTTCTTTCAATCCTGCTCTCAGTGAGAGCAGAAACTAAATTTCTGTTGATTTCACTGGAAGCAGGTCTAAGTAATGAATTTAGTAATAAGGATCAGAGATTACAGGTAACACTGTTTTTCAATAATTTACTATGCATGGAACAAAAAGATCACGAATACACTGCTTTTGATTTAATTTAACTGGGTAAACGTAGGCCAGGCCTTAACTGGTGCATCTGTTCATTTTGAGACTTGGTCTTTCCTCTGTTCAGTGCACACACATCTTTCCCTTTATTCCTGTGTCTGCAGGCACAGTCAGGAGCCCACAAACACAGTTTCAGTGTGTATTGCTGCTGGGGCCATAGTGAAAGCAGTAAAAAGGAACCACCTGGGAAACTCTGCTAATGATAATTACACTCACTCCCACAACTGCCCTTTTCCCTGCACATCCCTGCCATGCACTCCTGCTCCTGTGCCCCAGCACAGACACACCTGGAATGTGCCCAGCCAGGAGGCAGGTGAGCCTTTCCCATGACACAAACATCACTTCAGATGGCTGAAGGGACACTGACAATGTCACATTCTGCCCCAGCAAGACCCCACAGCCACATTCCATCCTGCTTCCAGCAGCTACATCAGCCCTGACTGCACACTTCAGTCCTGGCGGTGCTGGGAGTCACAACAAAACTCCTCCCCCTGAGACTCTGCACACAAATTCCTTTTCTTGGAGAAAATCTGGGGAAATATTGTATTCCTCTCACAGGCAAGTGATGGGTTAGGCAGCCCCAAAGGATGTTGTGGCTCTGTCCTGAGGCTGTTGTGCTGTTTGCTTTCAGATTTAGGCAGCTGCTTAGCAAAGACCTACGAGTGCTATTTGTGCTACCAACACAGAGAGCTGGAAAAGTTCCCTGGATAATGGGGAGCTTTCAGTCCCCAGAAAGACTGAGGCAGCAATTCAAGATTAATGTGCAACTAAGGAAGAAAAGGCCTGCAATTAATCAGATGCTTCAGTAATTCCTAAACACTTTTTCTTTGATTCTGCTTTCCTCAAGAATATGTAAATGAGACTTTCAAAATACAGTTAATAATTTTTTGTTTGTAATGAAGATAAAGATTCTGCTGCTAAAATGGGAGACACTCTTGTAAGGAAATGAGAATGCAGCTGGAAGGTGTGGTGGCATTTGCTGCCCGCTGTGTCACCATGCATTCATTAGCATGGCAGCTGCCTCTCATCAGAGGAAGAAAGCTGAGTGTTGATTTCATCACTCATTTAATACTTTGATAAGAACTCAGCTAAATCACTGCCCAGTAACTCTGCTTATAAAACAAGACTTATGGAGAGCCTTATGGGAATAACACTGGATTAGAAAAGCTCTTTGCAGGCTTTGTTAAACTCAAACAAGACACAGGGTAGGGCACTGCACATACAACACATTATTTCACAAGAAGAGAGAGGCTGCAGAACTGGACATTTATACTCCAAGACAGTATAAAAACATAAATGGAATCATGAACTTGCCAAATTAGGAGCTGGAACACGCTAAGCTGACAGATGTAAATCCAATCATTCACAGATGTTACAGATGGTGAAAATGGTGCCTGTTTTCCAACACCAGCAAAGGTTCTGACAGAGAGAATCCCTGAGACAAAGCCCATCAAGGGACAAATGCCAGCTGCTAATTTACCTTTAAGGATTTCAAACAGGACCTGCCAAATCATCCTAAAACACCCATGGCTTTGTGTTATGCCCCTGGAAGAGCAGCAAAGCCCCAGGCTCCAGAACAGTGGGAACAGAGACCTCACCTGAAGCAGCTGCTCCTCTGGCCCCCACCTGAACCAGGTTTTAGTGGCAAAGGCCATTTTAGTCCACACCAAGTCAGAAACAACCTTGCTAAGGATTACAGAGCCGAGGATTTGGCTCTCTGGCAGGTGTGTTTGCCAGCCCAGCAGTGCATTCCTGCCTGTGGACAAGTGGAGAAGCTTGTCCCATTCCCACTGCTCTGCATGGAACTCAACAGCTCTGTCAGTGGCTCCATCTATGGATCACTCCCATCAGGGAACTGCATTTTGTTGTACCAGCAGTGCAAATACCTCCCAGACAGCTCCAGAAAATCCCCTGGTGCACACACAGCAGCCTGGACTGGGCATCAAGCAGCTCTCGCCAAGGGCAAGTGTCACTTGAAACCCTCAGAGGAGCTGACCAAATGCCCACACCCCAGCAAGGAACTCCTTGAGTAAAGATCTAGGACAAGAAGCACATTTTGTCATTATCTTCCAAGAACTTGGAATAAACTGCTCCTGTTTGCCAGGGGGTTGGGATTCCTGCAGGCTGCCCCTCTCCAAAAAATCCCTATCCCTCCATGTAGTATGAAATATTTGGATTCTCTAGTGGGACATAAAACAGAACATTTCTGTAGATAAACAAGTGAAAGTACTTCACAGGTTAGGGAAAAAAGCGACACTTGTTTCTGCAGGTGATACAGACTCTCAGAGTGACAAACACAATTACTTTTTACAGAGTTTTTCTCTGCAGTTTCAGAATTAGAACAGAAGGAATTTTCCACTGGGGTATGAGTATCTTACCATATCATTATCTCAAGCTTATTTCCTCATTTGAAAAAGTTACTTTTCTATTACAGGCTCTTCAAAAATGGAATTAAGATGAGCAAATATATATTATGAAATCAATTGCAGTCTTAATGATGTTTTCAATGGCAGACCAGAGAACAGCATTACTTTATTTAGCTTGTCTGTTATACTAACTGATTTGAACACCTAAAATACACTGTACACTGCAAGACATAAACAAGATGGATGGGTGGATGGGTGGGTGGACAAAAGGGAGGGAGTGACATATTTTGCTTGCTCCCTAAAAAAATTGCATATCTCTTAGTAAGTATAATCTCTCTTTTTCCAGAGATTCTGGTGTGATTATTGCTATTAGCCCTTTCAGGATGAAATCCACAATAAGTGCTACACACACAAACTGATTTGCAGCTGACATTTAGATATTCAGCACCAAAATGACAATGCCCAGTTAGCTCAGTTCACATGAATCCACTAAAAAACAGTGACCTGGGGGAACTGACCCCCACATCCAGGGGGATTTAGTACATGCTCCACCTTTTCAGAACATACCTCTAGTTGATTCTTCTCTGACATGACACAAATTATATTAATGAACTGAAGGAAATTCCAGCCCTACTGTATTGAATTGCCCTACATAATTACTCTGAATAACTTTTATTATACAACTACCAGGTAGTTTATGACAAGTCCACATGTATATCCTTCAAGGTATTCAAGTGTTGCTGAAAGGGACTTCACTTCTTAAATTATGGGAATATATATATAATATTTTTTGTCTTTTCACAAGATCCTTCTTACCACATTAAAACAGACATAAATCCACATTGCTGACTCATCTCCATGGTTTGTACTGATTCAGATTTCATTTACATGCATGAATGATCATATATTTTAATGAAGTCTTTTGCAGTAAATACAACCCATGACAGAAACTTTTTAAAAACAAAAATAAAAATTAGAACTGGATTTCTGTGTATGATTGGGAATAACAATTCATCAGGTTAGTACCCATTTACTCAGGAGCCTTAAACTAGTTTTCCAACTCCTGCTCTGCCTTGTGAGGGGTCATTGGTGGAACAATAACCCAGCTCAACAACATCGAGCTGTGGAATGTTCACCCAAATAAATTAACCTATGCTGGGACCTTGGAAAGGTCCAGCTGTAAACCCTGATCCAGCTGTAAACCCTGATCCAGCTGTAAATCCTGCTCAACCTGATCACACACACAACAGTTTGGCTCGTAATGACTGACATCAAACCTCACCTTCTGCCCCACCAGTGCCTTTGGGAAGGTTCCAAGCAGCTCCCACTTAAGCAGGGAAAGCTCCTTGGCAGAACAGATAATGTTTGGCCAGTAATGTCACATTATAAACAGCAGGGGAAAAAATGCTGATTTTTCCATCAGAAACACAGTGGAAGGGTCTTCCTCTGAAATACCTCTGTCTGACATCCCAAAACCAAAGACACCATGGTAAATGATTAACTGAAGAGCAAAGAGAGCAATAATCATTTTCCAGAACAGCAGACATGTTTCTTACCTGTTGTTCAATGGTCCCAAAAGATGCTGTTCCCTGAGCTGGACTCCCACACTCTTCTGGATCTGTGGTTTCACTGCAAGAGCCAAGTCCCACAGGATGACTGTGTTTATTGAATGGAAAGCTAAGTGTTGATCTGAACTGAATCTGTGTTAAATCAGCTGATGATAGCCTGGGCCTCAAAATAAAGAATAGAGAAAATATTGGTAATGGTAGGTTTTCATTGAAACATTTTAGAATAAACTCTTTGGCAAATTCACGCTTTGCACAATTTGTAGAACTAATCTATAAATTGAACCTTTAGCACTTGCTTTAAAATATGCCTGTACTACTAGGGGGTTTTGGGTTTTGTTCATACTGTAAAATCTTCCAAGAAATCCTAAACAAATTATCATTCAGCAAAAGCATGGATAACAAATCTGACCTGAATGAAAGCCTAGGGACACATTGCCATGGCCAGCTCTACAGGATGGCAAAAAAACCCAAACAAACAAACAAACAAAAAAAAAAAAACAGGAAGAAGGAAAAGAGTCATAACGGAGGAGCTTTCTCTATCCTAGAAAAATCCCAACAGGAGAGGCAGCACCCTGCCATAAACTGAAGGCACACCTGTGGTTTATCCTCCCTCTTTCCAATGTCTGTTTTGATCTCCATCTGATGCATGCATCTTTAAGGAAAGAGGGATTTAGCTGCTGCCTTTACAACAGGAGAGATGAATGCAGCAGCTCCACACAGAGACGGATTCTCAGAGTTTTGGAAGTGTTTGGGGCCTGACCAGCTGGAAGAGTTTCCTTGGCCTGTGGCTGGATTTCCATGTAGGAAAACCAGAGAAGAGAATTCACGTAAGAAGAGCTGCTGGTTGGAGAGTCTCCCTTGCAGGTGCACTCAGCAAGACAGAAGCTGTGATGAAAATAAGCTCCTGTGGCTCTGTGGGCACTCAGCCTCCAGCCTTTACAACCCACCTGTCCCTTCCAGAAGCAAGCTCAATTTTAGGAAATTTGTGTAACAAAAGCCTGCAAGAGAACTCCTGTCTCTTTTCATCTCTCTGTTCCTTCTTCCAGCCCTGCTAGATTTCCCTCATCTGATCTAATACTCTATTAACAAACACCTTTTTTTGCCATTCCCCCCGGAGAGTTTAGCTCTCAGCCTCTGAGAGTGGCAGCTGATCCCTAAATCTGCCTTCTGTTCCCTGAGAAAAGGCCAGTCTGATCCCTCACCCACCTGCTCAGGCTTCCTGCTGGGAAGAGATCTCCGTGGAGCAGAGAGGAAAGAGCACCTGAACCTCTGCACACAGCAGTGAACATGAGGCTGGCAGAGTGAACTGACCCAGGAGCAGCTCAGGAGCAGCCTCAGAGGAGCTCTTCATCTCAGGCAGCTGTGGGCAATGGCCAGAGATAAATCAATCAATAAATAAAGCCCAAAATGCTTGGCCTAGAGCTGAGCTGAGCGCCTCAGGACTCACCAGGTCACTGCCCTGTCCCTGATTCCTGTGCCTGATTCCAGCCTGGAAGCAGCTCCCCCATCCCCCAGACAGAGCCGGGCAGCCCAGGCTGCTGCAGGAGATGCTCTGAGCCGCTCCCCTCTGCCACCACCCCAAATGTCCCAACCAAACCCCAGGGCTCATCTGGAACCAGAGCCTGCCTTTGAGCCAGGCTCTGCACATCCCACAGGAGGTCTGGGAGATTTCTGAGTGATGAAGGGTCCTTGGCAAAGCCAGCTTTTGTACCACTGAGTGTCAACTGGTTTTCCATAGAACTTCATTTGTTTCCTGTCTAATTCTGCCTAGCATGAACAGCAGTTTTAAACAACTTCTGCAACCACTTCTCTACTTGCTTGCCTTTCATTTTCTCCAGAAATTAAATACATTACAGCAGCAGATCTTTGATGTTTATTATAGAATAAATGACTTATTCAGACATAAAAATATTTTGAGCCCTGCTGTTATATGTACAATGGTACAATAGATAACCCAAATTCACAGAGTAAATGTGATGCCAGAAAAACGCAATACATATTTTATTGGGAGAAACTTGTGCTCTTCAGATGTAGCTTTGATTTAATATCTCTTTGGGCACTGTAGTTTAGCTGATTTAAGTTTTAGTCAAGAAGATGAGTAATAAGGATTTAAACTATATGGTTTTCAAACTGCAAATTAGTTATCTGACTGGTTTTCACTTACAACAATGTAAAAGTACTGAAGTATTTAATTTACTGGTATAGCAAACAGTGCCTTAATCAATTTAAATTTCTTCTCTTTTCATGCTTTCAGTAGATGAACGGAGCTGTAGAAAATGATATAATTTATACTACTTTGACAGAGCTTTTAGACTGAGGCAAAGGAGGTGACCACTTATAATGTAATGGGGGGGGGGGTTGGAAATTCTTTCACAAATTAGGATCTCTTCACAGATCCTGCTGATTTGTACTGCTGCTGAAATCAAGCCTTTCTAGACTAAGAACATTGTGATCACAAGACGAACTTTTGAGAGGATAGCAAAAGGAAACCTACAGTGATCATTGGGAAACCTCAGTGACATAAGAATACTTTCATACCGGAGCAACACATTTCTAATTTGATATTAATTTCTTAGTAAACTTGACTGAATATTACAGACTGCAATGTGGATATCCTGCAGTATTTGCCTGTAATGTGAAGAGCAGACTGTGCCCACGGGAGGAGCTCAGTCAGTGCAAGACACTTTTCACTGGAAGCAGAGTTGCTCATCTGGCATTCCCCAGGCTGCAAAGCAGCTGTTTTAAGAAGTTCCTTGAAGCAGGGGTGAGAAGATCCATGGCAATGGGAACCCCTGCCCAAGGGCAGCAGCGCTGTGGGCAGCACTGTGCACACACTGCTGGGCTGTGCACAGCCACTGCCCTGCCAAACACCGGCACTGCCCGAGCTGAGGAGCCCCGCGGTCCCTCTGCCCTGGTGATGGATGCACGGACACACAGGGCAGAGAGGTGAGAGCCAACAGCCCAGAGCAGCACTCAGCCACCATCCAAGCACAATTCCACTCTGTATTCCCTGCCCTTTTACACAGCTGAGCTGCTGTGGGTGTAAATCCATAGCATGGCTGATTCCCCAGTGACTGAAATAAATGGCTGCTCCTTTCTAGCCCTGCCAGGCTGCAAAGCCCATGGAGCCCTAGAAAAGGGAGCTGCTCTCAATTGTGGCTGACCAGCACTGGCATCAACTCGGCTCTCCCTGCAAAATCTTCAGGACTGATGAGGCAGGAAGCAGCAAAGGCAGAGCTCTGGCTTTCAGACCACTGATGAGGCTTCCAAAGGTTTCTCCTCTGTCTGACAATTAAAAATACATTTAGGCAGAGTCACTGTAAGCAGCATATCTGCAAGCACATACCATCTCTGTGCTTGCACAGGCAGAATCCCCCCCTGAGATGGAGCACTGAGACACAGAGTCCCTCCTCAGAGTCAGTATTTTAGAGATGTGTTGTGGAGAGCTCTCTCCACCCCACGGATGGCATTTCTGACATGGCATCACCTGCCACTGCCTGCTTTCCTGCTGCTCTCCCTCTACTGGGTCTGACAGCATTTTTAGCACTTAACTGACCTACAAATGGCTTCTGCCTGTTCCTGAAAATGCAAAAAAAGGTTCCACTAAAAACAGCACTTAAGGAGAAATTAGGATTAAAGAGCAGCCAGCACTTAAACCCTGCAAATCTGAGCGATGTCAAACTACCTGCAGTGACAGAGCTCCAGAGCAATCTAATGGATGCTTTCTGCTGTCTCAAGTGAAGCATTTAAACATTGCAATGTAAGGCTGTTTAAAATGTATATTCTATGCCACTTTAATACAAGCTACAGCAGTGGATTGACAATTCTCCTATTTCTGACTGGCACCCAGCAAAAATCTCCCAAACCTCTGGGTGTTGAGTCCTGTCAATTTAACAGCTTTTTTTTTTTTTTTTACACTGTGTATCCTGCAACATTTTTGTGTTGGAAAACCTGGAATTATAAAATCAGTATCTCTGAAATGTTTGCTGTACCCTGCAGCCAGACCATAACATGTGGCACATCTGAAGGTCTAAAATTTGCAGCTTTAAAATTTCTCTGACTGAATAATTAGATACTGCCTTGTATGCCTGCTACAATGTTTTGCACATAAATTACTTACAAACCACTGTGAGATTCAAACAAGAATCTGACAGGGAAACACAGGTATTACCTCCTGTAAGTAATTTAGGCATGTCAAAACTATAAATTGTTGCCTTACTTTTTTCTTTTTATGACTTGTGACACAAGAATGGATTACCTCTGCACTATTTTCTACTTTGGTTATAATTTTTGTCATTCAAATAAAGGCAGAGCAAGAAAGAATGAAAATAAATTATTATGGCTCAGTGTAAACTATTTGCAGGATGGTGTTAAAAAGGAAATTAATAGAAAAAATATATTCCTAAATTTCAATTCTAGCAATGAGAATTGTACCCATAATGGAAAAAAATAATGTAAAATTAACTAATGTACATCTTGTTTTAGTGCAATTATTTAATTCTCCATGCTGCAACATCTGACAGCAACTCACATACAATGGCCTTGGAGTTCTAAAAGTAATGACTCAAATTCTCACCTTTCCTCTCCACTGCTACAGTTCAGTGTCACTACAATTCATCCACCTGGTGCCATTTTCCCAGCTGGTTGTAATTCTTGTCACAGAAATGAAGAATTTGAAACCTTTTCCAGACCATTTGTAACATTCTGCATTTGGTTCCATTGCTAATTCCATCTCCTCATTCATCTACAGCACAATTTCTGAATCCATATTCTATGGATTCAGGGTTCACTGAGCCAACCAAGTGAAATATGGACTATTAACAAGATGAAACTTCTTTTTCCTTGCTGAATGCTGTGTTACCACATATCACTAGAAGACATCCCAATTCTTAGCAATCACACTGCACCATGCATAAGAAAGGGGAATGACTCAGGAGAAAATAAAAATATCACTGGTGTGCTCTTAAAGGTGCGTCAGAGTCACTCACAGACAAGTGAGACTGCACTGTGGCACACAGGTGTATTTCACCAGCTGTGCAAGAGATTAGATCAGTGCACTCTCTTTTAACAAAATGATGCACTCCAGATAACTCTGCATCCCAGTTCTGAGCCTGACTCTAAATTCCATCATAAAGCCAATATTCCATGAACTCTGTTGCACAAAGGGTCAGCAAGCTCACCGTGCCAGTCACTGGCACAAATCCTGTCAGGATTTCCTGAGGTGACTTTTCCTTCAAGTACTGACAAGTTTCAGGAGGAGGGTCACAGTCCTTTGGTTTGCCAGTGAATTTGTCCTTCAGCTCAGCCTCTCCTTGCAAAGAGGTTTCCTGCAGCACAGAGCTGCCCCGTGCCCCTCTTTGCCTTGCAGAAGGTCCAAGTCTCTCAAGGCCTAAACCTCTCAGGGACAAAATTAACAGCAGACTGCCAGGAAGCACCACAATCCAGTTCCCATCCCCTTTCCCTCCAACACACCTTATCAAGGTACAAAATACGCTGCAAACTCAAGCTGAAACAAGGGGAAATGCAAAATGTGGGTAGCCCGTGCTACCCTAAATACAGATTTAACTGCCCGGGGCAGAACTCTGAGAGGGTTTGTGCTCAGCTCAGCACAGGGAGAGGTCAATGCTCAGATGAATTTCTTTCCAGGCAGCAGCTCAGTGCCTTTCCCTGTGTGTAATGGGTGCCCCCGGGCTCCCTTTTCTGATATCCTGCCCTGAATGCAGACCCGGAATGATTCAGGGCCACTCAGCCACTCAAACAAACAAGGAGGTGCATATTGACATCTGGGGAAAAACTCTCACCATTTTAGACCAGGGTTTTTAACATGGGAAGCTGTCCTGAGAACTGAGCTGCTTCAAGAGGTTTTCTCCTATTTTAAGATGTTTCCCATCTTCTGTGTGCAAGAAAGACCTTTTTAACCCTGTTCATTTCTGGCTTCGTGGGTAAATCTGGTGTGAGGGATTTGTACAACGGTGTCATACTTGCCAACAACCCCATGGGTCCTAAACCCCACACAATTCTGCAATTTCAAAACATCATGAACTCATTTTAATATTTTCACACCATCCCTCTGTACAGAGGTGGAAAACACAGAGCATGTAAGAATTCAATCACACCAAGAGGTATCATTTGTGTCACAAACCAGGTTTCCTAGGTGTTTGGAAAGGTTTCAATATTGTTATTATTCTATTTAAAATGCTTCTGGTTTTATGTCTAACATGAGATGTTGCTTCAGTGCTACCAGTAAGCCAAGAAGCATTTGCAGTATCTCTGCTGCATTATTTGAACTTTTATACGTACACAGATCTGTCCATCCAGCCCCCTGCAAACCTGATGGAACAACTCTGTCATCTGTC